CTTGTCAAATGCAGCCTTGATGTCAAGGGCTGTCACTCTCACCTCACCTCTGGAATTCAGCTCTTTTGTCCATGATTGAACCGAGGCTGTCATGAGATCAGGAGCTGAGTGGCCCTGGCAGAACCCAAACTGGGCATCACTGAGCAGGTTTTTGCTGAGTAGTTGCTGCTTGATAGCACTGTTGATGATACCTTCCGTCACTTTACTCATAATTCAGAGTAGACTGATGGGGCGGTAATTGGCCAGGTTGGATTTGTCCTGCTTTTTGTGTACAGGACATACTTGGGCAATTTTCCACATTGCCAGGTAGATACCCGACTGTTGCAACTGTACTGGAACAGCTTGGCTAGGGGAGTGGCAAGTTCTGGATCAAAAGTCTTCAGTACTGTTGCCAGAATGTTGTCAGGGCCTGTAGCCTTTGCAGCATCCGGTGTCTTCACCCATTTCTTGATATCACGTGAAGTGAATCAAAATGGCTGAAGACTGATGTCTGTAATGCTGGATACCAACGATGAGGCCGAGATGGATTCTCCACTTCTGGCTGAAGATTGCTGCAAAAGCTTCAGCTTTATCTTTTGTGCTGGGCTCTTCCATCATTGAGGATGGCGCTATTTGTGGAGCCGCCTCCTCCTCCAGTGAGTTGTTTAATTGTCCACCACCAATTAAGACTGGATATGACAGGAATGCAGGGCTCATATCTGATCCATTGGTTGTGGGATCGCTTAGCTCTGTCTATCACTTGCTGCTTTCGCTGTTTGGCGTGCAAGTAGTCCTGTTTGGTGGCTTCACCAGGTTGACACCTCATCTTCAGTAATGCCTGGTGCTATTCCTGGCATACCCTCCTGTACTCTTCATTGAACCAGGGTTGATCTGCTGGCTTGATGGTAATGGTTGAGTGGGGGTTATGCCGGGCCATGAAGTTACAGATTGTGCTGGTGTACAATTCTGCTGCTATTGATGGCCCACAGCACCTCATGGCTGCCCAGTCTTGAGTTGTTAGATCTATGCAAAGTCTATCCCATTTATCACAGTGACAGTACCACACAACACGATGGAGGTTATTCTCAATGTGAAGGCTGGACTTCGTCTCCATAAGGACTGTGCAGTGGTCACTCTTACCGATACTGTCATGGAATGCTGCAACTGCAGCTGGCAGATTGGTAAGGATGAGGTCAAGTATGTTTTTCCCTCTTGTTGGTTCCCTCACCACCTGCCGCAGACCCAGTCTAGCAGCTATGTCCCTTAGGACCTGACCAGCTGGATCAGTAGCACTGCTGCCGAGCCAATGTTGGTGATGAACATTGAAATCCCCCACCCAGAGTACATTTTGTGCACTTAGCATCCTCAGTGCTTCCTCCAAGTGTTGTTCAACATGGAGGAGTACTGATTCATTAGAGGGAGGACAGTGTGTGGTAATCAGCAGGAGGCTTCCTTGCCCATGTTTACCCTGAAGCCATGAGACTTCATGGGGTCCAGAGTCAATGTTGAGGACTCCTAGAGCAACACCCTCCCGACTGTAAACCACTGTGCCGCCATCTCTGCTGGTGAGACAGGACATTTTCAGGGATTGTGATGGTGATGTCTGGGACATTGTCTGTAGGTATGATTCCATGAGTATGCTATGTTGCTTGACTAGTCTGTGAGTCAGCTCTCTCAATTTTGGCACAGGAAGATATATTAGTAAGGACTTTTCAAGGTCTCGCAAGGCAGTTGGTGCCATTGTGTTTTCAGGTGCCTAGGTCGATGCCAGGTGATCCATCTGGTTTCATTTCTTTGAGACTTTGTAGCAATTGGTGCAACTGCTAGGCTATTTGAGAATAAACCACGTTGCTGTGGGTCTGGAGTCACATGTAGGCCAGATCAGGTGAGGGTGGCAGATTTCATTCCCTGAAGGACATTACTGAACCAGATCGGCTTTTCCAATAATCGACAATGATTTTATGGTGATCAGTAGATTCTTAATTCCAGATTTTTTTTATTGAATTCAAATTCCACCATCTGATGTGGTGGGATTCGAACCCAAGTCCCCAGAACATTAGCTGAGTTTCTGGATTAATAGTCTAGCACTAATACAACAAGGCCATTGCCTAACCCGTTAGGGATGAGATTGCAGAGTACTCGGAAGGACGTGGTAAAATAGGGCTGAGGGAGCATGGCTTCATCAAGTGGTGGTAATGTCTACTCTGCGCACAGAAGCTGGAGTTAATGACTGCCAATTTCATCGGGGGGATTATCCTGGAGGGAGCATGTTGGGCTATAAGAAATAGGAGCAGGATTAGGCTTTTTGATCCACTGAGCCATTCTGGTATTCTGTAGGATCATGGCTGATCTGATTCTGACCTCAATTCCACTTTCCTTCATATTCCCTGGACTCCAGTCTCTGCTGCACTCTAGCCTCAATTGAAACTTCTGATTTGTCGTCTCCTTTCCCAGAGATTTGTAAGATTTGAAGGCAGTAAGATTTTCTTTTCCCTGACTCCACGCTTTCTGATATCTTTTCCAGGTACAGGCTCCAGCAGGGGATTTGAAGACAGTGCAATTGCTTGGGAGGTGAGTATTTTTGAGCATTAATCCACAACCTCAATCTTTCTGTGCAGTGCTCTGGTTCCATAGTCCTGTGATTGATGTGGCGCCTTTACTGTGGATCTGAATCCATGTCCATCTATTGCTCTGTTTCACCTCTGTCCTTTATGATCACCTGTCTGCCAATGTCTGACTTCCTCTGCCTCTCATAAAGGGTGTATTTGAACCTTGGCTGGTATTTTGTTGTTATTTCTGTTGAATGCCACTTGAGAGGGTTTAAACTAGTCTGGCAGCGGGGTGGGACCCTAAACAGTAGTGAGGCAAAAGAGAATGTTGAGGCTTGTGCAGAAGTAAAAGAGAGCAAGTTAAATAGATCAGACAGACAAGAGCACAGCAGGGAACGAGGTATGAAACTGCATTTATTTCAATGCAAGTGGCCTAACAGGTAAGGCAGATGAACTCGGCATGGATGGGAATATGGGACTGGCATATCATAGCTATTACAGAAATGTGGCTCAGGGAAGGGCAGGACTGGCAACTGAACGTTCCAGGGGTACAGATGCTATCTGAAAAATAGAAAGGGAGGCAAGAGAGGCAAGTAGTGTTTATGATTAGGGAAAATATGACTGCAGTACTTCGAGAGGATACTCCTGAGGGATCGTCCAGTGAAGCTGTATGGGTGAAATTGAGAAACAATTTGATGGGGCTGTACTGTAGCATCCCCAACAGTCAGCAAGAAACTGAGGAGCAAATATGTAAGGAGATCGCAGATAGCTGTAAGAATGTTAGGGTTGTAATAATAGGGGATTTTAACTTTCCAAACATAGACTGGGACTGCCATAGCGTTAAGGGCTTGGATGGGGAGGAATTTAAGTGTGTTCAGAAAAACTCTCTCAACCAATATGTAGATGGTTCAACGAGAGGAGGGACAAAACTCCATGACCTCTTGGGAAATAAGGCAGGGCAAGTGACTGAAGTGTTAGTGGAGGAGCATTTTCTATTAGAATTTAAAGCTAATAGAACAATTTTAAAACTATTTATTTAGAACAGTGATGGAAAAGGATAGGTCTTGGCCACAAGTTAAAGTTCTAAATTGGGACAAGGCCAATTTTGATGGTATTAGACAGGAGCTTTTAAAAGTTGATTGGGGGAGGCTATTTGCAGGTAAAGGGAAGCCTGACAAGTGGGAGGCTTTAAAAAATCAAAATAACAAGAGTTCAGAGCCAGCATATTCCTGTTAGTGTGAAGGGCAAAGCTGGTAGGAGTAGGAACACTGGATGACGAGAGACATGAGGCATTAGTCAAGAAAAAGAAGGTGGCATGTATCAGCTATGGGCAGTTGAGAACAAGTGAATGCCTTGAGCATAAAAAGGGTGTCGGATTACAGTTAAGAGGGAAATAAGGAGGGCAAAAAGAGGACATGACATAGCTTTGGCAGATGAGGTAAAGGAGAATCTGGAGAGATTCTCCAAGTTTATTGAGGGCAAAAGAGTAACGAGGGAGAGAACAGAGCCCTTAAAGATCAGCGAAGTTGTATATGTGTGGAGCCACAGGAGACAGGTGAGATCCTAAACAATATTTTGCGTCAGTATTTACCGTGGAGAAAGACATCGCAGGGAAATAAATAGCGATGTCTTGAATAGAGTCCACATTACAAAAGAGGAGGTGCTAGAGGTTCTAAAATGCAGAAAAGTAAGTAAATTCCCAGGACCTGAGCAACAGAATTCGAGGACATTGTGCGAAGCTAGGGAAGAAATTGCAGGGTCTCTAGTGAGGTACGGCATGGTGAGTGACAGCCACGGTGAGGTACTGGAAAACTGCAGGATGGCTAATACTGTGCTATTTTCTAAGAAAGGCTGCAAGGAAAAGCCAGGGTACCACAGACCAGTGAACTTAATCCCAATGGTGAGTAAGTTCTTGGAGGGGATTCTGAGAGACAGGATTTAGAAGCATTTGGAAAGGCAAGAACTGATTAGGGATAGTCAGCATGGCTTTGTGCATGGGAAATTGTATCTCCAAATTTGATTGAGTGGCTGGTGAGTGGGATTAGAGTGGGCAACTACTTCATTCAGCCAGTACACACACAATGGGCTGAACAGACTCTTCCTGCGCAGTAACTTTTTTATGGTTCTATTGAGAGCAAATGGAGAAAGATGCAATTCCTGGGCTCAGACAAGCAATTATCTGAGAAACAGTTTGGTCCAATGGGCTACTGGAGGGGAGGGAAGCAGCTAATTGGATTGTCTCAATCTTAGTGACAAAGAAGCTCAATTAACTCCTCATATTTATTGGGACAGCATTTCAAATTGGACATTAAAAAGACCCTGGTTTAACAAAAGGTTGATTTATTTGTCTTTATCCAATATATTAACACCAACGCCTGGGCTAGAGATTATTGACATCAACAGAAACAGGCTCGAGTCAATACAGTTCAGGCCTCAATGAAATAAACAGCAAAATGGAATTGCTGTAGTTACTGGTGAACTCGCTGGTGTTTCAGCAGGGTAGATGAAGTTGTGAATGCCTTCTCACACTGGAAGCAGGTGAAGGGCCTCTCCCCAGTGTGAACTCTCTGGTGCGTCCTCAGGGTGGATGACTGAGTGAATCTCTTCCCACACTCAGAGCAGGTGAATGGTTTCTCCCCAGTGTGCACTCGCCGGTGTACTGTGAGTAGATACGATTGCCTGAACCCAGCCCCACAGTGATTGCACCTAAACGGTCTCTCGTCAGTGTGAACACGTTGATGGCGCATCAGTTCCCCAGAACTTTTATAGCGTTTCCCACAGTTTGAGCATTTAAAAGGTCTCTCATCCGTGTGAGTGCGTTGATGGGACAGCAGTTCCCGGGAACTTTTATAGCACTTACCACAATCTGAACATTTAAATGGTCTCTTGTCTGTGTGAACTTGCTGGTGTTTCAGAAAAGTTGATAAATCAGTGAAACCCTTTGCACAAACTGAGCAGGCGAATGGCTTCTCCCTAGTGTGAATGCGCTGATGTGTTAGCAGTGCAGATGACTGAGTGAATCTCTTCCCACACTCGGCGCAGCTGAACGGTCTCTCTCCGGTGTGGCTTCGCTGGTGCACAGTGAGCTCCTCTGACCGTTTGAACGCACAGCCGCAGTGAGAACACAGGAATGGTTTCTCCTCAGCGTGAACACATCGGTGGCGCATCAGGTCCCCAGAACTTTTAAAGCACTTTCCACACTCTGGGCAGTGAAAAGGTCTGTCCTCAGTGTGAACTCGCTGATGTTTCAGCTGGTTGGAGAACTGAGTGAATCCCTTCCCACATCTGAAGCAGGTGAATGGCCTCTTCCCGGCATGAACCCGTTGGTGTTGTAGCAGCCCTGATGAGCGAGTGAATCCCTTTCCACACTTGGAGCAGCTGAACGGTCCCTCCCTCGTGTGAATTTGCTGATGTCTCAGCAGATTGGTTGAATGAATGAATCCTTTCCCACACTTGGGGCAGGAGAATGGCCTCTCTCCGGAGTGACCTCGCTGGTGTTGCAGCAGGTTGGATGAGCGAGTGAATCCTTTCCCACACTCGGGGCAGATGAACGGCCTCTCTCCTGTGTGGCTATGCCGATGAGTTTCCAGCTCAGAGGGGGATCTGAATCCCTCCTCACAGTCTCCACATTTCCATGGTTTATCTCGAATGTGAACAGTGCTTTTGCTTTCCATATTAAACATGCAACGATATGGATGTTACAATAAGTTGTGCCAGATCCTGATGTAATGTATTGTTTTAGCTTTCTGACTGCAAATCATGTCCTTCGAATACCCTGTAAAATTGATTTAAAACAGGAGAAAATGAAGTGAGAGAGAACCAGAAAACACAAAGGCAGATTGTGAAGTACAGCTGAATGAATCTGGTCATGTGTGCAGCCAGCACAAGGAGAAAGTGACGTAAAAGCTGTGGCGTTGTTATCAACAACAAACCGAGTTACTGATGTCCTTCAGGGAAGGAAAGCTGCAATCCATCAGACTAATACCAGAGTCTAGCCTCTCTTGGAGGAAGGATGAAAAGAAGCAGAGAGACAGATAGAGAGAAAGATAGAGAAGCTGCTGATAAAGCTAAACTGTTGTTAGTGATTTAAAGGACATCACCATTCCTTTATCATCTGTGTAGAATCCTGTAACTCCTTACCTAACAGCACAGTGGGAGCAGCTTCACCACACAGACTGCAGTGGTTCTAAAGGTCAAACATCATCTGCTATGCTACAGAGTTCCTCTCAAAGTTCCATATTCAAATCCAAGAATAATATTTGTGCAAAGTCAATTGATAGCATCTTCAACACTATTTGTCCTTAAAACAATATCCCTACTTTATATGGACAGTGTCAATTTAGCAATCTGACGTTGCCTAGAATCTCCCTCCTTTTAACAGTTTCACATTGGACATTGTATGGCCCAAATAGATTCCAAAGTCTTTGGGGCTAACCCCAGCAGCTTCTCCTCCATCTCCAGTCTAGCTCAAACTGACAGAACAAAGACTTTCAAAAGGGAATTGAATAAGCTCCTACAGCAAAACATAAATTGCTATACTGTGAGGAGAGCACAGCGAGTAAGGATAATCAAATTTGCATGGCAGGCTAAATATGCAACTACAGTACAGAAGAAGGCCAACAATTCTGTGACTTGATGAGAAAAGACCAACAGTGCAGCCAGCTCTGCAAACAACACCCACCCAGATACAAACCATCGCTTAATTTCTCTCTCTGGGTTTCCAAGCTCTGTCCTGTGAGCACCTATGATAACAAAACACTGCGGCTGCAGGAAGTCTGCAATGAGAAAATCCTGAAAATAATTCAGCAGGTCAGGCAGTAGAGAGAGAAACAGCAATGGCCTAGTGGTCTTGTTGCTGGACCTTTAATCCAGTGACCCAGATAATGTTCTGGGGACCCAGGTTCGAATGTGAATTCAATTTTTAAAAAAGCCCTGGAATTAAGAGTCTGATAATGACCATGAATCCATTGCTGATTGGTGGACAAACCCATCACGTTCATTAATGTCCTTTAGGGAAGGAAACTGCCATCCTTACCTGGTCTGGCCTACATGTGACTCCAACGTGGTTGATTTAACTGCACTCATCCTGTGAATGAATAATATATTTCATAGATAGTAGGAACTGCAGATGCTGGAGAATCCGACACAACAAGGTGCAGGGCTGGATGAACACAGCAGGCCAAGCAGCATCATAGGAGCAGAGAGGCTGACGTTTCAGGCCTAGACCCTTCATCAGAAAAGGGGGAGGGGAAGGGGGTTCCAAAATAAATAGGGAGAGAGTGGGAGGCGGATAGAAGATGGATAGAGGAGAGGATAGGTGGAGAGGAAACAAACAGGTCGAAGAGGCGGGGATGGAGCCAGTAAAGGTGAGTGTAGGTAGGGAGTTAGGAAGGGGATAGGTCAGTCCAGGGAGGACGGACAGGTCAAGGGGGCGGGATGAGGTTGGTCGGTAGGAGATGGAGGTGCGGCTTGAGGTGGGAGGAGGGGATAGGTGGGAGGAAGAACAGGTTAGGGAGGCAGGGACGAGCTGGACTGGTTTTGGGATGCGGTAGGGGGAGGGGAGATTTTGAAACTTGTGAAACCTCTACATCGCCGAGGCCAGACGCCAACTCTCCGACACCTCCTCCTACCGCCCCCTTGATCATGACCCCACCCCTGAGCACCAAACCATCATCTCCGAAACCATCCACAACCTCATCACCTCAGGTGACCTCCCATCCACGGCCTCCAACCTCATTGTTCCCCAACCTCGCACTGCCCGCTTCTATCTCCTTCCCAAAATCCACAAACCTGAATGCCCTGGTCGACCCATTGTCTCCGCCTGCTCCTGCCCCACCGAACTGATCTCCAACTATCTAGACTCCATTTTCTCTCCCTTGGTCCAGGAACTCCCTACCTATGTCCGTGACACCACCCACGCCCTCCACCTCCTCCAGAACTTCCAATTCCCCGGTCCCCAACACCTCATCTTTACCATGGACGTCCAGTCCCTCTACACCTGCATTCCCCATGCAGATGGCCTTAAGGCCCTCCGCTTCTTCCTGTCCCGCAGGCCCGACCAGTCCCCCTCCACTGA